TTGGGGCCCTCTTCCAAGCTCATTTGGGTAGTTGTTAGCGGAATTAATTTCCTTATAGCTATAAAACTCATGACAGCTTGCTTCTTGGCAGGAATATCTCTGAGCTCAGGAAAGGCCTAAACTCTCCTTTAAAGGGCTCACCTCATTAGATCAGGCCCACTCAGGATAATCTCTCTTTGATTAACTCAAAAGTCAACTAATTGGGGATCTTAATTATATTCGCAAAATCTCTTCACCTTTCTCATCTAACATAACATAATGACAAGACTGATAGCCTAATAGATTCACAGGTCTTGACCATACTTTAGGGGAAGGGATCATATAGTGTATATACCATGGGATGAAAATCTTGGAAGCCATATTAAAATTCTGCCTACCACAATAACATAAGATGACTTATGAGACCATGAGTTTGACCTTCAAAGTCTGTATTTTAAGATACTTTAATACATTAAAAATTCTTACATTAGAAATAATAAAAATCTAAACAATGAAAGTATCAAACTGTTGGTACCATTTTTAAGGGTGTGATGTCAACCCTATAATAAGTCTATTATAATAAGTCAGGATGAAACTACCATTTTAGATTAAAATTCTTTTATCTATTATTGGCTTAATGGATTTTAAATTGAGTTGGCAGAAGGGATAGATTTCAAATTAAACTCCATTTGAGCAAATAAAAAAGCATTTATTCATTTCAGCATTTTTCTCTTTATTTTTTTCATAAGTAGAAACTTTATTTGTTTAACCCACTTCATTGTATTCTTGAAATATGCCATAATTCTTTCTTTTTGTTCAGTATCCTTATGGTTGAATTCATGTATTACCACAGCAAGTGACTCAGAATTTGAGAGTTCCTTCCCGTAGCCTAGGTTATATGATACTTTGAAATGAAGCTGTTGCTGAAAATAAAGGACTATAATTAAATATAACAGTGAATGGAATGTCAATTCAAACATAATATCAGGAAAAGCTTCTAAATGGAGTGCTTTGTTGATTTTGGAAGTGTCTTCTGAAAATAGACTGGCAGTTTTATAAAACAGCCTGAATAAAACATTAGCAAATATCCTGTAGGACATATCCTGCTTTTTTGAGCGATGTGCTAACTGACAGCGTTCTAACTTCTTTTGCAGATATGAGAACTAGACTTGTTTTTTTAAAAAAATTAATTAATTTAGTTAGTTAGTTATTTTTGGCTGCGTTGGGTCTTTGTTGCTGCACGCGGGCTTTCTTTTTTCTAGTTGTGGTGAGCGGGGGCTACTCTTCCTTGCAGTGCGCAGGTCTCTCATTGCAGTGGCTCCTCTTGTTGTGGAGCACGGGCTTTAGGCGTGCGGGCTTCATTAGTTGTGGCACATGGGCTCAGTAGTTGTGGCTCATGGACTCTAGAGCGCAGGCTCAGTAGTTGTGGTGCATGGGCTTAGTTGCTCTGCAGCATGTGGGATCTTCCTGGACCAGGGCTTGAACCCATGTCCCCTGAATTGGCTGGCGGATTCTTAACCACTGCGCCACCAGGGAAGCCCTAGACTTGTTTTTTGAGTTGGAGAAATGAGGGGAATTATATTTCTAGTAGAATTTTGGTAAACTTCTTATCATGGAAATGATTTAAATGATTGTAAAAAGATTAGGAATCCTCAAATATTACTAAACAAGGATTGTTTATATTCTTCTTTATTCCATTATGAAAGGAATGCTTAAGGTTATAGAGAATTTTTATACAGTCCTATATGTAAATTCTTTTATTGTTCCTATCTGTCCAAGCTACTCTGATACTGACTTCAGTTAGGCAACTGATATTTTCAGTGGTCTGCCTTCAGCTCCTTTTCAACCATACATGGATTGTACTATACATATGAAAATAGGGTTACTAACCCAGCTACTCAGGATGCACGTTTTGAATTTTGATTTTTTGTGTGTGTGCCTTTTTATTTTCAAATACTATGATTCAAATATATAGTAACATTTAAGTGAGTTATTAGTGTACATTAGTGGACTGTACTAACAGTCCACATTTTTGTTTGAAATCAAAAGACTTCAAGTTTAACACTAGTTTTATTCACTAATAGCTAGTGATCTTCAGTGGAACAGTAAACCTCTGAAATGCTTTGTTAAAAAAAGGTTTCTCGAGTCAAAAAACTTAAGCGATAAGTGTTTTAAGAAATGCTTCATACTGTTTCTTTGTCCCAGAGATAAACAGATATAAAATCTCTGAGAAGTCCTGTAGTAAAGCTATCCAGTGAACTTGGCTTACCCAAGTATTTCCCATACTTCCTTTGACCACAGAACCTATTTTGACTATAATATTGCCTGGAATTAGTAATCCATAAAAAGCCCTTTGGGAAATACTGCTATAATTTAAATCACTCAAATTTCCCTTAAATCCAGATTCCCTAAGCTTTCCAAGCTAAGTGAACTTCTAGAACTATATTTTTTCTGAACCAAAAGACCAAGAAATTATATTTTCACTTAAATGTTTTATCACTAGACATTTGTTTGCATGTCTAGGGATACAAAAGTTCAGTCAAGAATGATCTGCAATCACCACTAAAAACTACTAGAGCTCATCAATGAATTGGGTAAAGTTGCAGGATTCAAAATTAATACACAGAAATCTGTTGCATTTCTATACACTAACAATGAACTATCAGAAAGTGAAATTAAGAAAACAATCCTGGGAGGGGCAATATAGGGGTAGGGATTAAGAGGTACAAACTATTATGTATAAAATAAGCTACAAGGATATATTATACAACATGGGGAATATGGCCAATATTTTATAATAACTATAAATGGAGTAGAACCTTTAAAAATTGTGAATCAGTATACTGTACGCCTGTAACATATAATATTGTACATCAACTATACATCAATTTAAAAAACCATGATGAATTACCACTTCATAAAAAACAAAACAAAACAATCTCATTTACAATTGCATCAAGAAGATAAAATACCTAGGAATAAACTTACCTAAGGAGGAATAAACCTACCTAAGGGAGGTAAACCTACCTTATAGTTTTCTGAGGTAAAACCTACCTCAGAAAACTGTAAGACACTGATGAAAGAAATTGAAGATGACACAAACAGATGGAAAGATATACTGTGTTCATGAATTGGAAGAGTTAATATCCTTAAAATGACCATATTACCCAAGGCAATCTACAGATTCAATATAATCCCTATCAAAATACCAATGGCATTTTTCACAGAACTAGAGCAAACAATTTAAAAACTTGTATGGAAACACAAAAGACCCCATATAGCCAAAACAACCTTGAGAAAAAACAGAGGTATCGTGCTCCCTGACTTCAGACTATATTACAAAGCTACAATAATCAAAACAATATGGTACTGGCACGAAAACAGACACATAGATCAATGGAACAGAATAGAGAGCTCAGAAATAAACCCATTCACTTATGGTCAGTTAATCTACAACAAAGGATGTAAGAATATACAATGGAGAAAAGACAGCCTCTTCAGTAAGTGGTGCCGGGAAAACTGGACAGCTTGTAAAAGAATGGAATTAGAACATTTTCTCATACCATATACAAAAATAAACTCGAAATGGGTTAGAGACCTAAATGTAAGACCATAAACCATAAAACTCCTAGAAGAAAACATAGGCAGAACACTCTTTGACATGGATTGTAGCAATGCTGTTTTGGATCTGTCTCCTAAGGCAAAGGAAACAAAAGCAAAAATGAACAAATGGGACCTAATTAAACTTAAAAGCTTTTGCACAGCAAAGGAAACCATTGACAAGACGAAAAGACAACCTACTGAATGGGAGAAAATATTTGCAAATGATATGACTGATAAAAGATTAATATCCAAAATATATAATAACTCATACAACTCAATGCAAAAAACCCCCCAAACAACCCGATTAAAAAATGGGCAGAAGAGCTGAAAAGACATTTATTTGAAGAAGACATACAGATGGCAAACAGGCACACGAAAAGATGCTCGACATCACTAGTCATCAGAGAAATGCAAATCAAAACCACAGTGAGATAGCACCTCACATCTGCCAGAATGACTATCATCAAAAAGACCACAAATACAAATGTTGGTGAGGATGTGGAAAAAAGGGAACTCTTGTACACTGTTGGTGGGAATGTAAATTGGTGCAGCCACTATGGAAAACAGTATGGAGGTTTCTCAAAAAATTAAAAATAGAATTACCATATGATCCAGCAATTCCACTCCTGGGTATGTATCTAAACAAAATGAGAAACACTAGTTTGAAAAGATACATGCACTTCAATGTTCATAGCAGCATTATTTATAATAGCCAAAATATGGATGCAACCTTCTTGTCCATTAACAGATGAATGGACAAAGAAGATGTAGTGTGTGTGTAGTGTGTATATATATGTGTGTGTGTGTGTGTGTGTGTACACACACACACACACACACACACACACACACACACAATGGAATATTACTCAGCTCTAAAAAAGAATAAAATTTTGCCATTTGCAACAACATGAATGGACCTGGAGGGTGTTACACTTAGTGAAATAAGTCAAACAGTGAAAGACAAACACTGTATGATATCACTTATATGTGGAATCTAAAATATAAAACTAATGAATCTGACAAAAAAGAAACAGACTCACAGATATAGAGAACAAACTAGTGCTTACCAGTGGGCAGAGGGAAGGGGGAAGGGGCAAGACAGACACAGGGAATTAAGAGGGCAAACTACTACGTATAAAATAAATAAGCTATAAGGATATATTGTACAAAATGGGGAATACAGCCAATATTTTATAATAACTATAAATGGAGTATAATCTATAAAATTTTTGAATCACTATATTGTATACCTGAAACAAATATAATATTGTAAATCGACTATATCTCAATTAAAAAAAAAAAGAATGGTCTGCCATGCTTCATACTTGGAAGTATAATTACACTCAGTTTCTGCAAACTTTGTGTCACTGCTATTTTTTTTTAACTTTTCTCATTAATTGCCTTTATTTTTTTTTCAGGGGAACACTATTTAACCTCTTGGTAATTTTAATTAGCGAGCCTCAGATTCCAAAATCTTGTCCTGTTTTGACATCCAGTTGGTGGCTGATTCAGCTTTAGTTGAGATGTCTTTTGATGCTGAGGTGAGATGAGAATTTTGGAACAGACTAACTACAACATATAGGGGTCCTGGGTTCTTCTATGTGGACCATGACATTGTAGAATATAGAAAGATAATTAAATCAAAGAGTAAATACATTATTAATCTCAAAATTTAGATAGCTATTCTGTCAATATTATATCCATTTTATATGTTTTAAAGTATGCATACTAAGAAAAATTATTATTCTTTATACATTAATCTGTTTATATTTGTCTCTATATAAAATATTTACATATATAATTCCACAGCAAGGGTCTAACGGGTAAAAAAGCACTGTCTTAGAGATTTTAGGATTAACGTTCTTGCCTTAGTTTACCATTTCCTTACCTATCTAAGTAGTGCAAACTTACAGTTACTTATTTTTCTAAAGTTTTACTAAAACATTAGAGATATCAAAGTGCCTATAATGCACTTATTCTGAGAGAATAAATCAGGTTATTATTAGTTGCTTTTGAGTAGGCCAACACAGAATTTCTTTAAAGGATGGGACATGAGTTCATAGTTGTTGAACATACAATCAGAGTTATGTTTTAGAAAACTCTTAAATTCACTCATTCATTCAATAAATATTTATTGAGCATCTGTTATGAGCTAAACAGTGTGCTAGGCAGTGGGGTCCAAACGAGAAGCAAAATAGATACAATCTCTGCCCTCATTAGTTTAGAGTCGAGTTGGATAGACAGATGTTAGTCAAATACAACATCAATGTGTTATAGCAGACTGTATACAGAGCATCTATGATACCAATATCAACAGTGGAGTGAGGGAATTAGGGATGAAGGAGGAGGATGGAAGCAAGACTGACAGGCAGAGGTGTTAAGAAGCTAGTGCTGTAGTCCAGGTGAGGGATGATATGGGCCAGAAGAAAGCCTTCCTTGACCCCTAAACAAAACTAGGCTTTCTTTTTAGAGCTTTCCTACCTTCCTGTGTTTTTCTTTCATAGCCCTTGTCTCAGTTTGTAACTATGCAATTTATGTGATTATTAGACTGATGTCTGTTCCCCACTAGACTGTATATTCCATGAGGGCAGGAACCATGTCTCTTGTTACTCTCCATTAGTACAGTACAGTACTCCAACTAGTACAGTGTCTGATGCATGTTTGTTGAATAAATAAATGAAAAAAAGGGATAGTAGTTGTGAAGAGGAAAGATTCCAGAAATTTTTAGGAAACTGAGTTGATAAGTTGATGGGAAAATAAAGAGTTAAGATTAGATGACTTCTAGATTCTGGCCTGGGTGACAGATAAGAATTACAACAAGAAGAGTAGGTTTAAAGGGGAAATAATGAGCTTGGTTTTGGATCAGTTTATTTGATTTGCCTTTGATATTTCCATATGAAAATATTTAGTGGGCAGTATAGGTAGGTCTGAATTTCCTGTTTTGGGATCTGCTTATCTTTTGCACCTGGGCTATTAGTGAAGCCATGAGCAAATCATATAAATTCTGGTTCCAAGGTCTAATAGAGTGGGAGATTTCAAAATAGAGCTCTTCCTTGCAAAGAATACGGTCAGGGAAAATGTGTTGGCCTGTAGCATGCCTACAGACACAGTTCTTTCTCATGCACCAAATGGCCTATGGGCTAGAAGACAGCTTCACCAACTGTTTGGATTTCTTGAGAACAACAGCAACAAAATGTCTCTAACCCTATATTTACCCATACCACAGAAGGAGTTATCCTTCAAGTTGGGCATAAGACTAAATTCCCCAGAGAATCTCCCACTTTAATTCTGGGGAGCAAATTTCTACATTCTTGAAAGGAAGCAGGGTTGCTGATCTGAATGATTTTGCAAATTAAGTGTGCAATTTTTTTGTGTGTTAGTACTCTGTAGGACCTTGTATCTTCTTCCCCTGACCTGCTTTCTTAGCCATTATTAAATGTGCACTCATTTTATGAGAGCCACTTTTTTGAGAATGACTGAATCAAACAGAACAAGAAAATTAACCACACTAATATTTTTTGTTGATCATAAATTCTTTTATAAATACTTAAAGAGAACCAGGAGAAATGATCATTTTCTGGCTCTGCCAATGATATTGCATGGATTACTATTTAAAATTCTAGTTACAGAAGCTTATCCTGGAATATACAGATACAGCTACCGCACTTTTATATCAGATACTTCTTGTCTTTCAGCAGGTACGTTTTTATTATACATACTATATTGTGTGATTATTATATATGTCATGACTATCACATGATATATATATTATATGATTAATAATATACCTTAAAAATGTTTGTACTAGAGATAATCTCCAAAATTAGTTGATTTAAATGATAGTACTGCTTTTGCTCTTAAGTGTTCATCTAGCTTATTTTCCTAAATACTGATTTTAAAGATTTGATTAAACAGGATAAAATGTATTTGAGAATGAATATCTTTTTAGGTATCTTTTTAAAACTTGAACTTCATGAATATAACTTGTTTATTTCCTTGAATCTTTTAGGGAAATCTTGGATTGGGGTCATCAAAGTTTGCTATTAGCTGGATGATGTCCTTTCTACAAAGTCGTCCTCCCATAGTAAGTACCTAGAAGCAGAAACAAAACTACCACTCAAGGCTAACGAAACAGATGCTCTTGTGCTTAATTAATAAAACAAAATTTCTCTGTAAGTGGTCAAGTTTATAAAACAGAAGAAAATGTAAATTTGATGATTTTATTAACCAAAATAAAATGTTTTTATATTTGGGGCCTGAATGTTTAAGGTACTGAAATGACATCTTAAATGTGATCTTTGTTTAAGGAAAAGCCCTAAGATATATGCAGAAAACAGAATATTAAAATACTAGCTGTATAATTAAGTGGAAAAAATGAACATTTATCTTAAACACTGAGTGTGAGTTGGCAAGTACGAATATAACACTTTTAATACTCTGGCCACTCTGTCCTGGCAGCCACCATCCTGGTCTGTAATATCACCATCTCTCTCCTTGGCATTATAATTGCATCTACATGGTCTGTCCTATCTTCCCACCGGACTACAGTCAGAGGAACCTATTCAAAATAAAAATCTGATTATGTCATCCCTTGCTTTAAATCTCTCGTAATAAAGAAAGATATAACAAATAAAGACTAAACTTCTTAATATGGCCGACAAGGCTGTACATATTATGACCCTCCAGCCTCATCAGTTGCCTCACTCTTCCATGTCGGTCTCATACCCACTGCTCACCCCCAACACCGTCACAGGATCTTTACCATTCCCTCGGTCTACCCTCCTCAAACACTTTCCCCTCCCTTTTCCACCTAGTTAACCCCTACTTGTCCTTCAGGCCTCAGTGCCCCTTCCTGGTGCAGGGTGGGGGGGATGATTCTCTCACCTCTGACTAGGTAAGATTCCCCCATTATGGGCACACAATCATAGCAGGGCGTCTTCTTCCTTTTCTTCATAGGACTTGTCACTGTTGCAGTCACACGTGTTTGTGTTATTATTTGGTTCTTTATTGTGGTAGCCATTAGTGTCCACACATATTCTGGCTCTCTCTCCTTCCAGGCACGTAGTAGGAGCGTACATCCTTCCCCACTTGAAATTAGGTGGCTCTCTGTTTTTGCTTTGGCCAATGGAATCTGAGCAGAAGTAACCTACGTCACTTCTTGCGCAAAGGTTTAGGAGCCAGTGCATGCTTCCCTGCCTTCTTTTTTCCTTCTGGCATGGTGACTGGCAATACTCCATATGGTCCTGAGTGACTACAATGAGCAGAACCCCCTACTGACCCTTAAGGGACATACAGTGTGAGCAAATAGTAAACCTTTGTTGTATTAAGCAAAGCATTGACGTTTTGTGAGATTTGTTACCACAGCATAACTCATGATAGATTGATACAATGTCTTTCTCCCCAAACAGACTCCAGGTGCCGTAAGAGTAGGAGCTATGTCTGTTGTGCTAGGCACACAATAGATGCTAAATAAAATATCTGCTGAATTAATTCTAATAAAGGCTTTATCCCCTAATCTCTTTTCACGTCCCCAAACTTACTTTCCCTTTATTCATTCATGTATTTGTCTATTCAATCAACATAGATTTAAATGGAAAACTTTTCAAAAGGTAGTAACCCAAACTAAATTTTCGTTGCTAATGGAGGATTTGACATGTGGTATTATGTTCTCTTTCCAAATATGAAGATGCCTCTCTTAACCATCAGTGATTTTCTGCTTTGAGGTATTTTTCTAGAGTGATGTTGAGTCTGTCCTAGGGAATCTAGATTCTCTTGCCAGATCTCTGTGACATATGTTTCCAAAAACTTGGCTGGAGGCAGAGGGTACACTTGTCAGTAGTACAGCCAATTACATTATACAGAGACTGAACCCAAGAACTTGGCTCCTTTAGCAGCACATAGACCCCAACCAATCTCAGGGCCACTTCAGAGTGTTGTACAGTTATAGTCATTCCCAGCCCAGAAGATATTATGTGCAAGATGCAAAACCCTTCCTTTTTCTGTGCGGTGGTTCCAGACGGGGTCCTAAAAACTACAAGCAACAGGAAAGTTTCCTTCTCAACCTCTAGGGTTGGTTCACCAAAGGAACTGAGTTGATTATGAGCCCAGACTGTGACCATAAAGCATGTCAGGATGAAAGATGGCAAAAGGACCACTAACACTGTTTAAAGCTTTGGTATTAACCCATTTCTAAAGAGTCTGGATAGAAACAGACCATTTGAGAGAAATTTGCAAGCAAGGAACCTGTTGGGATCATTGAATACACCATCCCAGTCAGTGCTGGCTGATTCTCTTACTTGGTCGGAGCAAGATGCTAAAGAAATTAAAAATTTAATCCCCATATGGCCATTGCTTTGTTTCCCTGCTCCAGACTCTCTGACCTCAACCTGCGTTTGCCCGACACAATACCTAGTCAAAATGTGTAAATGGATCTGAAATGGGGAAACCTCACTTCAAATCACCTGCCCTACTTAGCAATGGTCTGTAGCAACATCAATAGAAAAGTCCACATTTATTGGTACTAATTTAAGGGACATCCAGAATGACCTGCTTACTAGAGCCTGAAAGAGCACGAGTTTTCCCTTCTGTTTTTTTACAGTAGCCTAAATTTATACTTCCAATGCTCTCCTTCCACTTTGGAGACAAACTTCTTTGACAGTCAGTACTAGTTCTGACCCTGCTTGTAGGGGGGCTATTGGTAAACCCAATTGGTCTATGGTCTGGTGCTCTCTGAGTACCATTTCAATAAGAAATAGCACAATGCAAGGGCATGGGTGTAAGGGTGGTGAGGACCTCAGCCTAGATTTATAGTTGAGATTCCAGCTGAAGTAGGTGCTCTTACAGGTGTCATGCAGCCTACGTGTAACTGCACTTTCCTTGTCTAGATTACTTTTGTGGCCAGAATTGTGAAGGGGCTTTCAGCTTCATTTCAGCTGCTAAGTCCTGGCCAAGCAGTTCTTTTATACCAGCAGTTTTACATCTTCAAGAGCTGCCTGCAGTACAGCAAAACTAGCTGAGTATATTAGGGATGACTACAGAGAAGAATTCAGGTAAGAAAAAGTCGGAATCCTATCTGCAGTAAAATCCACTCATTTCTGATTTTCATGCAAAACTACAACACTGCCCAATATTTAGAAGATTAAGTGACAAAGGGAAATTCTAATTTTTGTTTTTAATAATATTTTACTTTGATAAAATAGTTACCTTACTGTGGTAAGGTAGGATTTGGTGGGGGGGGGCAGGGGCGGGGCAGGTGGTGCTCTAAGAACCATTGCCACTTGAAGCACATTCCCAGGCCAGAAAAGACTAGTTCACTAGTCTTTTTATCAAAGCTCTCTCTGAAGAACTGTTTCTCCCTCATTGTCTTGATTTCAACCAGCATCTATCTCACAGAATCATGTTAATGATTTTAACATGCTGTAATGGAAAGTAACCAACCCTACTAAAGGAGACAATATATTATGGGCTGTGAATTAACTGAGTCACTGGGAAAGAAAAACAATTGATAAAGGAGAAACGATGAATGCAGTTATTAGGGGTTTTTTTGTTTGTTTCTTTCATTTACCCCTCTCTTACTCTCCATAACAAAATAGTAAGAAAGAACATGAGCAAAAAGCCTTTGTTTCATTAGTCAGCTTGTTCTGCACCTCAGGGGTTCCTACTTCTATGTATAGGCTGCCAAAGCCAAATGCACTTAGCCATACACCCCTTCATTAGCACCTATCAAGGAAAAAAACCCTAGGTTGTGTCTAACTTAAGGTGAAAAGGGTGCAGCAGGCATAGCTTTGCTACCAGTTTGGATGGAGACATACAAGGATGTGAAGGCATATATTATGGCCTAAAGATTTGCTTTAAAAAATGTTACAGTCCAGCTTGTGGATCCTGTTTTTCATCCATGTGGTTTTAAACCGTAGGTTCCACTCTGGCTCCCATAAAACAGTTTTGTTGGGCCCACTCTGAGTTGGTGCACGCAACCCAATTTTTTCCTCACTTTTTTTGAGGTAAAATTCATATAGCATGAAATTCACCACTTTAAACATTTTAAAGTGTGCAACTCAGTGGCTTTTAATACATTTCACAATGTTGTGCAACCATCACCCCTCTCTAATTGCCAAACATTTTCATCACTCTCAAAGAAACCTGTTACCCATGAAGCAGTCACACCCCAGGTCCTGGCAACCACTAATCTACTTTCTGTCTCTGTGGATTTGCCTATTCTAGACATTTCATACAAATATAATCATACAACATATGGCCTTTGTGTCTGGCTTCTTTCACTTAGCATGATGTTTTCAAGGTTCATCCATGTTGTAGCATGGATCACACAAACGAATTTTAAAAAAATAGTTATGCACATTTAAAAATCAGAACAATGGCAAAAATAGTGTCACATGCCTACATGACAATAGTTGGTCAGGGCTCAAAAGCAGCTACCTTCTTAGGTAGATCATGCACTGTTTAGTTTGCCACTGTCTCCTCTCTCTGTCCTTACTCTTACCGTTCCTCCTACTGTGTTATCTGTGGGCATTTAGGTTTGTGATCCTTGTTTTTACACAAGTGACTTTCAACCTGCCATGCATAGAATCAGTAGCGGGACTATTAAAAAATACTGATACACAGGTATCAGATGTAGAAGCTCTGTTCAGTTTGTCTGGGGTTGCGCCTCGGCATTGACATTTAAAATGAACCGTCCGGGTGATTCTAATGTGCATCCAGGGTTGACAACCAATCTTTTAAGCCATCCGAGAGGCTGGCTAAAGATTTTCTTACTTTTGTCTCTCCCCTGGCCTTTGCTATACAGTTGCCCCTTGAACAATGTTGTGGTTAGGGGCGCCAACCCCCATGCAGTTGAAAATCCACATATAACTTTTGACTCCACCCAAATTTAACTACTAATAGCCTATTGCTGACCAGAAGCCATTCCGATAACATAAAGTTTATTAACACATATTTTATTAACACATATTATTAACACATATTAACACATATTTCTATAAGTCTTGCTCACGATGTTCTAGACATGTATTTTTGTATACTTATTGAAACAATCCAAGTATAAGTGGACCCATGCAGACCAAACCCATGTTGTTCAAGGGTCAACTGTACTTTTACTGAGGCCGTGGGGACGAACTCTCCTCTTCCCTCTTGATTTGGCCCTAGTGGTCACCCCAGCTTGACTCATTTCAACTTCTTGCTATGTATAGCCTGAGAAAACAAGAGGCAGGAGCCTCAGCCCACCCTGCGGTGAGGACAGTCCTGGCTTCCTTATTAATGCTTTGACAACTGATACATTATTAATGCAATTCGCTTTGCTGAAGCAAAGTGCTTCAATGAGCTGAAAGGCATACATATCAGAGGTCTTCTAGGTCACACATGGGGGAGGCTGGAGGGCTAAAAAATGCTGCAGGTTAGACTCCCACACCCAACAACGCTACGCCAGTAAGTGTGTACGTACTGATGTGACCAGTGTGAAAAGTCTTGCTTTTAAAGCTCTCTATTTTGTTTCGTTTTATGATTTGCAGGTACTTTATTCACATGCCAGCCTTGGAAAAAAGGGTCCCATTATGTTACCCTATTACCCAACCTACCACTCAACTTTTTCATGACGTTCTGAAATTGGTTGAACAGAAACAATGTGTGAAATGTTAATGAGAGTGTAAAATGTGAATTGGGAGTCAACTTAATATTTATGAGAAACATTTTTTGATTTAATATCCAGCTATTCCTGTGTTCTATAAACAAAGATTTTATTTGAAGGTTCCATCAATACCTCTCTAAGAGAAGTGTTTAAAGTTTTTAATCTGCTACAAAAAAGAAACTGTTTAAATACACTGACATACATAAAATGAGGTGAAAGACTAGCGTTCTTCTAAAAGAAAAAGTTTCTAAAGACGTAAAGGAAACAGAAACCCAGGAAGAGCAAATGTAGAAAGTGCAGGCTGATGAGTTTTGTTGTCTAATAATGGTGAGTGGCATGAAGCCACTGAAATATCCAAAGATAAATTATTGTGGGGAGTATAGATTACAAAGTGATCACATTAGAGAAATGCTGGGCAATAGGATGCTACCCTCCTTTTCCACCTGTAAAAATTCTAGTGACATAAGTATTCATGGAAGAACGAGCAGAAGAATATAGGCATAGCTATAAGGAAGGTCAGTTCCTCATTTATCACGGGGAAAGAAGCTTGGATTTTCTTCAACAGCACTGAATGCAGCGTGCATTCTGCCACGCTGTTTCAGGCACCTGGGGGCTAATGTGAACAGTGTTGTACAGTTTCTATGAAAGAGAAACTGTCTATTAGAAGTTATGGCTCATCCAGTTGTTTAAAAAATGTCTTCACTATATCTTATGGTAATAAGCAAATTTAATCCAACAAAAACCTTAACTTTGGCATCCCTGTGGAGCTACTGAATTTGGGCTTCTAAGAACTTAGGAACTGGGTCCTCCATTCAACTTACAACTTAAGGGAGGATCAGAGAAAAATCCACCACCAAAGAAAGAGCTCCCAAGCCAGATCTGCCTGTGCTGTTCAGTGGAGAGAGAATTAAACTCACTCAGGACATCTTATTTCTGGTTCTGGCTAAGCCACTAATCTGCTGTTTGACCTGGAAAAAGTCAGGTCTCCTTTCGGGGCCTCCTCTGCTATGTGGAAGGGTAAGGCTAGATGTTCTCCAAGTTCTCTTCCAACTCTAACATTCTCTGCCTGTGATGAGACAGTTCTTAACACTCTGTAATGGGGTAGTGCATTCCTGTGCACCCTGGCTTAGTGGATGATTTCACATTGATTTCAACAATCCTGCTTTCTTTGGACTAAACATTTCCCTTCTGGCTGTCATCAGCATTGCTCTAGAAAGTGTCCAAGGCTTCTGCACTGTCACCCATCCAGGACTATAAGTCTTCTACTTTCTAATCTGGGGACAGAAAGGGGAGCAAAATGGTGTTTATGAGTGTCCTGGGCTGTTAGAAGAGGGATTATTCCCAAGGGGTGGTTAATCAGAAGATTCTCAAGACAAAGGCAAGCAGCACTTGAAACCGGACAAACGATGGCTGACTACTGGTGAACGTGGAGCCTGCAGAATGACGAGAGGACCAACTCAGCTCTGCCTCAGCTTCTAGGCAGTGCCCTGGCTCTGAGCGAGTAGCAGTGAGGCTCTGGAGAGAACTTGGGGTCTCTTTCCCATGGGCCTTCTTGTCCATGTTGCTTCTCCTCTCCCACTGTCCCCTTCACTCTGAAAGCATACTTTATCTTATCTCTGGGAGCAAAAGCTCTATCCAAATGTACCTCAATCTTTCCATGTAGGGCTTAGTCAGTAGCTTTTTTGAAAGCTAATGGTTGCATATTTGTTGTCTTGATTTTCTTACGACACATGGCTATTCATTTACACAGTCTGGGAGAAGAGGGAGAACCCAGAAATTAATACTTTGAAGGGGTATCCTGCCACAATCCTTTCCTACTATCTGTTTTTTGCACTATTGCCAAAGCCAAGAAAATTACTAAATAATGCATCTCTATTAGTGATCAGACACATTTGATGACTAAATATTGATTTAGACCACAAAATAATTATTTTTCAGGGAAACTAATTGTAGAAAAACTTTGAATATGAAAATCACATATGTAACTTTTTTTTTTTTTTTTTTTGTGGTACACGGACCTCTCACTGTTGTGGCCTCTCCCGTTGTGGAGCACAGGCTCCGCGGCCATGGCTCATGGGCCCAGCCGCTCCGCGGCATGTGGGATATTCCCGGACCGGGGCACGAATCTGTGTCCCCTGCATTGGCAGGCGGACTCTCAACCACTGCGCCACCAGGGAAGCCCACATATGTAACCTCTGAAGAATAAAAAGGATCACCAAAAGGACCACCACACACACCCAGGCTGGGTTCAAGGTTCTGGACTCTCTGGCCACCTTTATAATACAAGGATTGCCATTGACCACTCCCACTAAGAGTGAAGTCATAGTAATTAGCTCTACTATTATATATACATGGGTTTTGAGGTCAAAGAGCTGAGTTTAAATCCCAACTCTGCACTACTGGACCTTGGGAAGTTACTTAACATCTCTAAGTTTTGGTCAAAACAAGGGTATAACCTATCCCATAGGGTTGTTAGATTTAAATGAAAAGATGTTGATAAAGCACATAGCATGGCATGTGGAAGTAGTAAGGATGCAGTACTTATTATTATTAAAATACTATCAAAGCTGGCTGAGAACTTGGAGATTTATAAGTGCTACCCTTATTTTTTGGACCAATCTGGGGAATAGCTACTATACTCAGCCCCTAATCCATACATTACTGAAGAACAGATTCATTTCACTATTAAACTGAAAATTCAATTTTATATTAGCAGGAGTGTGATTTAATTAAGTGACTATTTCTACTGCTCACCACCAAGGACCACGGACTCTAACTGACATTTTCAATGCAAGAGCTATGTGGGAAATATTCTTCCCACGAGTGGACAGAGATCTTTTCAGTCCTGTAAACTTTTTTTTCACCTTAAATAGCTAATTACTAACTGATCAAACAGACATAGCCATTCTGTCCTTATAGAGTTCCTAATTGATTCACAAGGACTGTTAGAATAAATATATGAAGTTTCTTCATTTTACTGAAATATAGATAACCTAGAAACTATGTAAAGAGGGAAAAGCTTGAAGTGCCTATAATTGATAACATATTTTACTTATTTCCATAACTGACTCTCCCTCACTGGTAGTACCACTTTTCATACTGTACAGAGATGCTTGAGAGTATGGTATTAAATGTGCTATAAGGCAATTGATAAAAGTGGTCACAGCTTGTTGACTGGTAATATGCTCCAGCTGGCGGAATTATATTTTTTCTGAGGTTAGAATCACTTGTTTTATATTTAATGTTTTTGTATAGTAGAGACATTAGGTGATAAATGTGGAAAAGAAGCTGGAAATTCCTTGAAGAAATGAATTTGATGGGAATTTTTGAGCAACCTTTAATAGTGTTAACTCACTGTCTGATTTCTCTTTGCTCATTGTATTTACTTCTAAAATGCAATACTGACTTGTAAGGTTCACTTGGATTTGGCTCTCTATAGGAGGGCGACAGTCAGCAATTTTTCATCCCATCAGACCAAGCACTCTGTGTCTGTATATCTGTCTTTTGGATCTGAAGCTTTTCACATTTAGGGGAAGGCAGCATGCCTCTGGCTGAAAATCTGGGTGGTGTAACTTTGTGACCAAGAGTCCAGATGCTATGTCAGAAAGACCTTGTTTTGATTCTTGCCTGCCTACTTACTTGTCATCAGACTTTTGGCAGGTTATGTAACTCAGAACTTCCATTTTATCAATCATATGTTAATAAAAGCCTATCTTAAGGGTTTTGTGAATATTCATTCATTTATATATAAATAAATAGTTCTATGGCCAGTAAATACAGAGACAAACCATATGGCATTGCCATTTTCAAGTTCAAAATTGTCAATATCTGTAATTTCATATGGTTCAAACAAATAAAAACCCCTCAATAAATGGTAGCAATTATCCTAACAGAAACACTAACTTGCTTTAAGAACTTATACTTTAAATACACGTCATTAATTCTAATTTCCCAGATAGCATGGCACTTTGTTATAATGTGGCTTATTCTTGCACAGATTTGGATGAACCTTAAATCATATAGTTCAATTACAAATTATTGAGTGGGCGTAATATAATTAAACATGATCAAATGTAATTTAAAATTTTCTTCCTTGCCTTCCCCCAAAATAAAGAAATCTGTTCTTCCACCAGTCTCCTCCTCAGTGAACTGTACTTCGTGCATGCTGCTACGCAAAAGAGACAGTTGGGAGACCTCTGGGTTTTCTCCATTCTCTTCATTCTCCAAACGCAATCCATCAACAGTGCTTATTGGAAATTCCTTCAGAATATATGAGTAATCTACTGACTTCCCATAGTTACTACTACTCATGTCCAAACCTCCATCACCTACTACAATAAACTATTTAGTCACCCTGCTTTCACCCTTGACCCCTACAATCGTTTCTCAAAAAGGAGAATGGACTGTTCTTTTGAACAAGGAAATCAATACAACTGATGACTTAAAACCTTCCCTTTTCTTCCCATTACCCAAGATGAAATTCAAAGTCCTTACCATGGCTTTCAGGGCCCTTCATGACCTGGCCTCTGACTACCTCTGTGACCTAATCCAATCACTCTTCTCACTCGCTGCTCCCTAAACACACCGGCCTTTGTGGTTTTCCTTCAAATCTCCAAGTTGTTCAAACCCTGGACATTTGACTAGCAAATGCTTTCCCCCCACATCTTCAAATGTCACTTCAGGGCTTCCCTGGTAGCGCAGTGCTTGAGAGTCCGCCTGCCGATGCAGGGAACACGGGTTCGTGCCCCGGTCTGGGAAGATTCCCGCGTGCCGCAGAGCGGCTGGGCCCGTGAGCCATGGCCGCTGAGCCTGCACTTCCGGAGCCTGTGCTCCGCAACGGGAGAGGTCACAACAGTGAGAGGTCCACATACCGCAAAAAAAAAAAAAAAAAATGTCACTTCAAAGAGGGCTTCTCTGATCACTCCCAAGTAGCCTCCCACCCACCTACATCACCTTATAGTGTATTTGTTATGTATTCTTTGTAACAATTTAAGAATGTATGCTCTATGAG